TGGACACAAAGACAGAAGTAGGTCAGATGCTCAACACGAGCGCGCAATGGCAATGAAGTTTTCACGTGTGACAACTTCATTGCCATTAATTGTAATTAAAATTTCTGAAACAATAACAATCGTAAAAAACTTAAATAATAATCATTACACTGCTACTAAAAAAATACAAAAAGTATTATGGGAGTATTATATATAGTCAAGCATTGTACAAGGACAAAGTCTACTAATTCTAAAACTGGATCTGAAACATATCTCAAAAGAAAAATGTACTAATAATTTTTATAGCGCCTCCTCAATGGAAAGGTGATCAGTTTTGAAGTCCCGCACTGCTGACGATCATAAATTTCTAAATCTATTTACCATTTATGTACCACATGTTCTAATAATCATGGGTAGGTTTTAATAATATAGATCAGTATGACTGTTATCAAAATGCAATACAATTTGAATAAAGTTTAAAATACTAAAGTAAATCTTACACAAAACTTGGGCTGCTAACTGTGTGTATGAGCTAGGCAATGGTGTGTACGAGTTGTGTTTGAGTTGGCATGTGTACGAGTTAGCCTGTATTCCTCACAGCACCATAGGAAAAATATTAGTTCATTGTATGGCACTGCTTCAAAAGCGTAAGTTTTCTCGATTAAGAAGTCATAAATTGAAAGTGGTATAATAGGCCTAATAATAATAATGCGCCAGTATCCATCAAAGATGCTTATGGCGCAAAACAGAAGTTGAGAAAGTTGTTAACAGTTTGTAATCTTAACTACAAAAAAAAAAAATAATAATAATAATAACCGTATCCCTGGTGGGGGAGGCTTCAGGAGTGCCTTTGCTTGCCCAAGGCAGATATTCTTAATTAGCAACTCCTAAGACTCACGGAGGGAAGGAACGTCTCATGTTTTCATTTATGGACTGCCCCTTAAAGGGGGTCCATCACCGCTGCCCTTATAAGAGTGGCCTAAACTTAATCTATGCCTAGTATAAAAAAAATATATAATTTTATGATATCCTTTCTTTTTCAGAATTTTCCGTCACTAAATATAATTTGATTACTAGCTTTTTATAAGTATCCGTCTAAATTCTAAGGAGGCATTGTGTAGTCTGTTAAAGTTAAAATAGAAAAGAACTTTTTAAAGTAATTTGGGAATCTAAATAATTGTTGAGGGACTCGTTTCAATATGTGTATTCACATATGTTGAGGATTGTGGGCTTTAATAGGTATTCCTGTATAGCTGGTATTAGCTGGTAACTCAGGTTTTGCACCAGAAACATACAATGGAATCATTGATGGTTATTATTGCAGTTAGCAATTTATGAACCCCATTGGGAATGTTCTATATCCTTTTTCTTCCTCAGTTGTCCTAAATAAGATTTAATATTTCTGATTTTTATTCATCTGGCATACCATAGGTCATGGGAACATGCTAATTTTACCTCAACCAGATCATTGTTCATAAGATTGTTGTCATAAACAGTACCTATAAAGTGTAGTTTTCACAATTTGTTGATAGCCTGTATAAAAACAAGAAAATCCCCCAAAAAACAAGACAATCACAAAACATAATATTATGCAGTGGCAGGAAAAAAATCAAGATGATTTCCAAAATGAATCGGCAAAACTAAAAACAAATTAAAATTTTAAGAAAAAACTTTTGCATGCATTGCATATATTTTTTCTGCCAACATAAGATTTTACTGTGGGCATGTTCCTCACTTTTTAATTTTATTTTGCTGGATTTACCTATTTAGTTTATTTTATTTATTACAAATTCGACATACAGATGCAAGAGGAAACCATGGACTGGTGACCCAACACAAAAGTGATTACGAAGCACCAAAGGTGCATGCACACACCTGAAACTTTTTGCAAACATTGTTTATCGAAAAAATAATCATTTAACTTTACTACAAAAGTTGTTAAAATTTTAACAGTTATAGTTAACATTTAGAAACATAAAGGATACCATTTTTGTGTTAATAAGGCAAGCTGGGAGGATAATAAGTTACTTATGGGTTTCGCTAGTTTGTTGCCATGAGCCTTATTGATCCATCCCTGGAATTTCTAAACATGTTGTTTGCGCATAAGAGGGTCCATGCTCAGGTATTAGCCCAGCCAGTATCACAGTCAATAGAAAATGGTGTGAACAACCTCCAACAGGGCTAAACCAATAGAAATTTTGTCTAATAAATAATTAAGTGAGAGTTTTACTTGCTCATTTCCGGTAGTAATTGGTCTTTTATAAGAATTATTAATCTACATGAGGACAACGATGGTCTACATAATGCTTCAATAATGCATAGCAATCAACGTAAAATAGGCTTAGGTGCATGGACCTATATGTAAAATTAAATATTGATGCCATACTGCACCCTGTATTAAAGTACAATTGTATGGTCCGTGTACGTGTCTACACATTCAATAGTAACTAATTTATTCTTGTGTGTACGCAAGATATACAGTACACTGTGTAGCAAGGTTAATGATCTTTACTTTCACAGGGAAAACAATCAAATAATCTTGCAGGAATCCTCATCCTTCTAAGCAATTATTATCTGTTGAGGTATGTACATGCCTAGATATTTTGCGACCATCTTAAAAGAGAAAAAAAGTGCGCATGAAAATTAAATTTTAATTTAGGCCTGGAAATACAGGAGGTAATCTTTGAATAAGTATCATTATTTTAGTACCCATCCCAGGGGGTGGGGGTTTAAGACAGTTGAGAGTATAACATCTTTTCCTTTGTTGTAAAGGAATCTTAAATTTTTACGTTATAACCAGTAATCTATCATTAGGCACAGCAATTTTGGCATTGAAGTTGTCATAGTAAGGCCTAAAAAAATGTGTTTGTGTGCCCTTCTCGCCCGCCCCTAACTCACTTTTAAAAAAATAGGGGCAGCAAAACCAAAAAACTTTTGAAAAGTCTTTTTTTTTTAGTTTTTTTTATTTATAAATTAATAAAAAAAAATGTGAGTGAATTGATCATTTTTTTTGTTTTGCCAGATGCCCTACAAGGTTGTCTAAAGTTGTTTTCTGATGTAAGATATTGCCATTCTAAGTGTACTGTACATTCATTGTAAAATGTCAATTGTGGGTTATTTTTATCTGATGAGTACTGTAAAAAAAACTTTTAAAAAAAGAAGGGCAAACAAACAAATTATTTTTAGGCCTAATGAAAGAATTGAAGCTGCGATCCAACCGAGTTCATTTTTACATTTCTTCGCAATCCCCTATGGCAATCCAGGATATGGCGTGGTATAGGTGTATCATTTTAGTTGGGTTGCTTGCAGCATTTTGTTATCTCCAGTGGACCTTTCCAAGTTCATAAACAATCAGAACAAGTTATTCAATATTACAAATAACAAGTAATTATTCAGGAATATACGCTTGTTCCACAAACAAACATGTTTATGTACGTATACAGTTTACCCCCGGTGTTTTATTGGACCTTAGTAGTAACATCCGAGGGTCGGAACTTATAGGTGAGCCAATACTAACTTGTGGATCTGTTGACAGTTTATAAACTGCAAACAAAAGGAGAGGTGCCTAACTGATCCATCACTTTGTCCTAATGACTAATTAAAATACGTTGCATCCTATCCTTCTTATTAGCCCTTTAATTGTGCCGCTAGCAGAATCATTGTATCATCAGCTAAATTGATATGTGAAGGACGTATGTCCTATGGATTTTCCCCCATCTTTTGTATTCTGATTAAGGTAATGGCCAGAACAAGTGGACAGCAAATTGAAGTAGGGCTGTAACCAAGACATTCTCGGTGTAAACACATTGCGTGTTTGATCATTACAAAGGCTTTAGCCAAGTAATTTCCTGGCAGGTAATGTTTGTATTAAATATATGTTGTGTACAGTACATATGCAATTGTTGAGTGTTGTATGTAAATTCAGTTACAAAAGCTGTTAGTAAATTGAATTTTACAACAACCCTTCACACGGCTACAGAAAGCTGTTTGTGGTTGCCACAAATTACTATGGTTCTTGAGAATCTACTTGAATTCAGAATCATCTCTCTTCTTGTAATTTAGTTTATACATCAAATGGCTGTGACAAACTTGATGTGCCAATCCTTTTTGTGGCTTTCTTTGATAAAAAAAAAAAAAAAAAAAAAAGGTTTGGGGAGGGGGAGAGAAAGTGTGAGACATTTCATTTTTATTTTGATTTAAAAATACACATTTCTTTTATTACTGTGTACGTTGAGAGGAGCCTTAACAGCAATGGTGAATTTAACTGTAGCATCAGTTTAGTGTCTTTCAATTATTATTCAATTATAATTATTTCTTGTGTTTTTTGTTATTAAACTCAGTGTAAGAACAGTTCTGTATAATTACACATGCATAAATCAGTCAGCAGGAGACCAGTTAAAAACTTGTGGCGTTTATTAAAGCCATGTTCTCACGATCACTCCTATCC